ACATTTTACAGCTGTCTTCTATTGCTGTAATGGATCACTACCAATGCCTAGCATCCATGTGCTTGTTTCATATGCTGGCCTCTACTTTTGTAATGTGCTGGTTAAAAATCCAGGAGTACTTGAAGGCTTCCACAGAAATAATGGAAAGTAGAAATTCATAATAAGTAAGGCTGAAAGGGATCTTGAAATGTCACCTAGTCTATCCCTGTACCCCAAGGTAAATCATTCCTGATAGCTGTCTAATCCAGAATTTGCCTTGAGGGGTGGGGAAAGATGACAGATTGCTGGGGCATTATAGAAATCATATCTGCTGACTGCTGCCTGGTGCCCGTCCTTTTTCAGTTGCTACTAGCACTTTTCCTAACAATGACTACTGCTGACAAGCAACATCAGCAGCAGTTGATGGTGGGTGGTCAGTTCCTCTTACTGCTGACTTTGACAGGAGATGTTGCTACCACTGAAGTGGAGCTGGCATGACTGCCCGACCCTGCTATTGTGATGCATAAACCAACAAACTTGGGGAAATGTTGGTCTAATCAGTTCTTGAAAAACTTTGATCATGGAGTTTCCAGCACCTCTCTAAGTAACCCTTAGTTATCCTTACTATTAGATTGTTTTTCCTAATGTCTAAACTAAATCTCCCTTGCTGCAATTTAACCCCGCTCTTTACTTCATGTCCTATTCCCAGTCAACAATCCCCAGAAGAACAGTTTCTCTTCATTTCATATAACCTTTCTCTCTGTAGTAACCTTTTACATATTTGAAGACTTGTTATTTCTCCCCTTTGTTTTCTCTTTTCTAGATTAAACAAACCTAATTTTTTTCTGTCTTCCCTCATATAATTATGATTTCTAGAGCTCTGATAATTTCTGTTGTTGTTTTCTGCCTTTTTCTAGTTGTTCAACATCTTTCTTGAAGTGTGGTGCCAAAACTGGACACATTATTCCAGATGTGGCTTAACCAATGTTGAGTAGAATGGAAGTATTACCTCACATCTTACATGCAACACTTGTTTACATATGACAATACATATGACACAGGGTTACCGTTCTCACAACTGTATGACACTGCTGAATCATGATCAGTCTGTGATCCACTATAAGCCCCAGCTCCTTTTCTGCAAAATTGCCATCTGGTTCTTCCCTATCTGTGCATATTGTAATTGTGTACTTGTAGTATTTTGCACTTTTACTGAATCTCATTCTTTGATCAGACTGGAAGATATATCTAAGCTATACATTTTGCCATGCATGGCCATCTTCAGTGGGGTACGCCAGAAGATTTGTTACCCATACAAATCCAGAGCAGCACAGACAAACCAAATTGCCAAGTCTGTATTTTGGGTTGGTTTTGAAGGTCTTTTTAAACAGCTGCCAGGGTTATATTTTGGGCTCCTTTTATAAAGTTCAGAGAGTGGCTAAGTGGTAGTATACTTGGGATATTTGGGTGAAGCTAATGGGTGAGGCCATTGTACAGTCAAAACAAGTGTCTGCCGTATGCTGCTGGCTACTTAAGAATAATGGGTATCCATTTATTGTTGATTATCTTAGGGGCATACTGTAAGTCTCTCTTGAAACTGGACAATATTGAATGATTTTGAAATCACCTAATTTAATTTTACAGGTGAAAAAAGGAAGATGTATAATTCAACTTTGTGAAAAAAGAACACATTAATGCAGATAGTAGGCCAGCACATAATGTTATGTATAGGTCTGTGTTAATTTAGCAGCTTCCTACTCAATAACTGTTCTTTTACCATGTTTGTCTCTCACAGTAGACAGAGAAAGGTTATCAGTGGGCACATCTACATGTGAAATTAATATCCCTGAATTTTCTGTGCAGAAAATTCAGATACATTAAACTGGGCCCCTTCATGCATCTGAATGTGTGCCCTAGCTCCTGATGGGAGTAGCTCAGTTTAGGGCTGCTCCTGCTCTGTTCTGCCTCCCTCTACTAGTCAGGGGGAGCTGGTTGGCAATGTCCCTCACCCTTCTGAACCAGGACAGATCTCCCCTCCCTCTATGGCCCCCCTGCTGCCTAGGCTGAGTCATTGTCTATATGTGTGCTTCAACACATTGAACTAATGTACTGATTTTTAGTGCCTGTATCTATGGCTACTAGAAAATGGTGCATTAGACTAATCTACTCTGCTGTAATTGCTGCATACATATAGACCTTGATTTTTACTGCACTCTAGATTAGTCTAATGCACAGTAAAGTGTCTCATGTAGGAGCACCCAGTATGAACTGGAATTGTGATTTCATACCTACTCAAGTCAATGGAAAGCCTCTCATGACTTAATTCTTCTTCACTGCACCTTCAAGACACCTCTGACTGGGTATGTCCACACAGGGCACTTTAGTGCACATTAATATAATGTAATACACAGTAAAGTGTAACCATCTACACATGCACAGAAATTACTGTGCAGTAGATAGTCTAATGTGCTGTTTTCTAGTACCTGTAGATTCAGGTACAAGAAAACGGTGCATTAAACCAATGTGCCAAAGTGAACATGTAGGTGTTGACTGGGAGGAAATTGCTTCTGGCCGGCATAGGCAGTAGGGGGCCACAAGGGGCAGGGAGAGCTGCCCTGGTTCAGCAGGACACTATCTTTCACACCCATCCCAATCTCCATGTGCCTGGAACAGCTGTCCTGGCTGCTGGGCAGCTGCCTCTCAGCCATATGGATTTCAGGACCCATGGAGCTGTCCTGGCTCTGGAGGCAGCCCTGATTTATAGGCCTGTTAGTCTTACCTTGATCCTAGGCAAGCTGTTTGAGAAAATAATTCTGGCACACATACAGGAGGGGACAGCAGGAGACTGCATGCTTAGGGGCAATCAGCACAGGTTCATCAGTGGCAGGTCCTGTCAGACCAATCTGGTAGCTTTTTATGATCAGATCACCAGATCATTAGATGCAGAGGTAGCAGTGGACATAGTCTTCCTGGACTTCCGGAAGGCTTTTGACACTGTCTCTCACC